CCGTATATGCCAGAGGTGTTCCAAATCTGGTAAGGCCAATTCTTTACCACAGGTCCCTTTGTATTCACCACATTTCTTACCACTTTTCAATTCTGGTTACCACCTAGTTATCCTCCCAAACAAGATCACAACGCCACCTTAGGGTTGTTGGTGCTACCTTGCCAATACAGATTTATATGCACAACCTTTGTATAATAGAACCTTCTGTAATAACTACTGTTACACGTAGTGCCAACTACTCCACAATGGACCTCCTTCTGAAAATTTCTAATCCAGACTTGTATTTACTTGGACTTCCTATAGCAGATACTTCCAAATATTTGTAGGTAAATATACCTACTAGGACTTGAACCCGAAACCTGCTCGTGGAAGGTTGAGTGTCTAAACCACTAGGCCGTGGGATCCCAACCCATATATAGAAACTACTTTTATATATATATAAACTATATTTATTTAATAAAAAATGGTCAAAAATCTCTATTACTTGAAAATAAGCTACTTCCAAAATTTTTGTATAATTTTTTGCCCAAAAATAGTAGCTTATTTTTGGGAATATATGGTATATTGTTATTAATAAAATAGTCTTATTTATCTGAAGATGGCAGGCTATGCTGATTGGCATTATTTCTAATAAATTTTAGCACATGTAAGCCATAGTAAATGAAATTGCAAAAATGCTAATTTATTTATTTAATTTATAGATTTTTGAAGCTAATCTATGTTGTTAATAGTGTGCATATAATAATTTCTATCTGGTCTATCTAATACTATATATGGTTAATCAAGCAGCTTGACAAACTGATATTCCACCAAAATTAAATAAGTTTTTGGTACTTTACTATTTAACAGTCCAAATCTAGTATTAGTATCTATTATTTCTAACAAACAAAAATTACTTTTTGCTTGAGATATTGCTTTTACTTTACAATATCATTTAAGAGCCTTTTGTGTATTAACTTTAGTAGTACAATATTTTAGACAATATTGGTTTTGTAATTTTTTTAAATATGCTTTATTATCTTGTTTTTTAGCTTTTCTGATGACTTTTTCTTTCATAATAGATGCTTTTATAGGTTTAAACGAATAAATTTTTTTAAATCTATCAATTTGTCTCGCAATAAAATCTCATTTTTATCTTCTTTATAATCATTTTGACCACTATCTTGATCATCTTCATATATTATATTTTTATTCTTATAATAATTGTCATCATCACTATTACTATCACTATCATCTTTTAAATTATTTGTTTGATAAACTTCATAGAGTTTATTAAGTTCATTATTTAAAGTTTCTAATTCATTATATGTTTCAAAAAAGATAGTTCCAATAATGAAACAAATAAGATACTATAGATTAATTATATATACCATCAAACTGTAAAATAATAGATATTCATGCATTATCTTAAAAATCAAAACAATATGTATAGATATACAGTATATATATACACTTTGTATTATTTTAAAATAGTATCTATAATAAATACTATAGTTAATTTATTCTATATAAATAAATGGCAAATAATTAGTGATGTGATCTTAATTGTATGAACTAAAGTTGCAAGTAAAACTAATCTTCAATAGTGCACTAGGTAAAACTGGTGAAACTGGTGTACTGATAGTGAAACTAAAGTTATAGATGAAACTAATCTTCAATAGTGTACTAGTTTTTTGGTAAAATTAATTAGTTTCACTAACAACTCTAGTATGAACCTGTTTTTTTAATGCTTAAAATCTAAACATACTTATATAGACTTATTTATGTTTGCCTGAGCTTTATCAACCAAGTAATCTTATAGCAATAGTTTTATAGAAACCTAATATTTTTTCACCAAGTTCCTTCTATATTTCAACAATTACACTTCAATAATTGTCTTATTTTAAATATGCTAATCTTAATTATCATACATTAACATATGATTTATAAGGTTTCTTTACTTTTGGTAGATAATTTTCTTTTAATATTAATTTTATTCATTATTTTCTTTTTATTTATTATCCAACTATCTCTTATTACCTCATTAACATTTTATCTTATCTTATCATTCACAGTATTTGTACTAGATACTATCATTCTCTGCCTGATCAAAATATCTTTTCATTTTAATTTGTAATTAGTAAAATAATAGAAAATGACAACAAAATATCCAGAAATAACTTATTCAATAGCAAAACATAAGGAACTACCATTTGGTAAAGAAATTGAATCTTCAGAATCTTCACCTTTATACAATTTATTTCACAATTAAAATTAGCTTATAAACATTTCTAATTTTAACGGATTTTTTAATATTGGATAAATAGCTTATTTTATTCTTTTTTATTCCAAATCCTTTTTTATAATAATAGCCAACATGATATATTCCATAACTGTTTCCAATCTTTGCAAACTTTTAAAATGAATAAATGCTTATATTTATCCATTTCAACTTTATTAGCTTTAGACAATTATACTAATATGAATATATGCTAATATATTTACAATTTTAAATTTTACTTCTTATTGAGGTATCAGTTTGTTTTTTTTTGCTTTTGTGTTTAAACTATGCAAAATTAGTTAATTGTTCTCATAACTGGCTAGCAAATTTTTGAAAAAAATTTTGGTATAAAAATTTTTTAGTTTTTTATTTAAAAAAAAAAAACTATGAACTAGTTAGACAAATTCACTTTAAAATTTATATAAGTGCAAACAGTCTCTTGGTATTTTGGTCAAAACCTATAGTATGCTATTATATGAACCTTTGCTTTTTCAAGGTAAAGTTTGATGATACTGATTGAGTATGTGATTGCTATATTTAAACTTTTTATTATAATAACAATAACTTTTGTTTTATGAAACCAAGTAACACCAGGTTATAGTTACTGATCACAACAGTCATGTAATATTATTGTAATCATAAAGAAAACTTGTATTATCATTAGTTATACAAGTAAATTAATATATCCGAAATTTAAGGTAAATTTCTGACTTGATTTCTGAATTATATATTTTTATATACAAAATTTAAAACTGTAATATTTCAAAATTTTATTATGTTAATTAAACTTCACTATTAATTAAAAAATAATCAGCATACTAGCTTCTGCTATTTTATTAAAAAATCTCAATTTTAAAAAATTTTGATTTGCTTGGTTTCTGTTGACTTAACTCTATATACTTATTTACTTTATATACTTATTTTTTATACTTTATAGTAATAGAAAAACTGGTTTAAATTAGATTAGCTAGAGTAGAATAATTTTTAAATTCATAGCTTGCTAGACAACTAGTTGTCTAGTTATTTAAATTTGATTTTTGTTAGCTCAAATTTAGTATAACACTTATTTAACCAAAATAAAGACTTTTTATTATTAGTTTTTAATTTATAGTAATATATCAAATATTATCTATTCGATTATATATTTAGCTTATAATTAGAAGTTAAGATCCTTTCATTAATTATTAATCTATTAATTTTTTATTTATATTTATCTATTTTTGAATTAATATTCTTTAGATTATATATTAAATACTATACTTATCTTTGTTACAATGTATAATTATAGAACTTTATATTTTATTTATTTGTATTTATTTTTAGTTCATTAACTAATTAATGCTAATTATTAGTTTGTTTAAATATTTATTATATTTACAAATTATATTGTGCAAATAAAATAAATCAAATAGTAATTTTTATTAAATTAGTAAATTATTAAATTTAATAAAATAATTGCTAAGATATTTAAGCTTAAAGTTAAAAAAAACTTTTATTTTAAAAAAATTTACTGTATTTTTATAAAATAATGTATAAGGATATAATTCTGAAATTTGGCCCGAATTAAGCTTAATTTAGACCAAAATTTAAAATAATAACCTGTATGTTATTTTGTAAAAATATAGTGACTTTTTTCTATTAAGCAAAAATTTTTTAAATAGTTAGTAGTATATATTAGCTTATTTTATAAGTCTAATAGTTGCTAAGAGTATTTATACTTAAAATACTATAGGTATTTTTTTGCAAGGAGTTGAGATTCTGTAGCCTAGTAGTCTAGACACCCAACTCTCTACAAGCAGGTTTTGGGTTCGAGTCCTAGTAAGTGTGCTTATCTACGAATATTTGAATATACTCACTGTGAGAAGTTCAAGTAAATTAAGATCTGGATTAGAAATTTCTAGAAGGAAGTCCATTGTGGAGTAGTTGGCACTATATATAATAGTAGTTACTATAGAAGGTTCTATTACATGAAGATTGTATGTATAAATTCACAATTAGCAAGGTAGTGCTAACAACCTCTAAGGCAGTATTGAAAATCTTGTTTGGGAGGATGACTGAACAGTAACCAGAATTGGAAATAGTGGGAAATATAGTAAACACAAAAAGACCTGTAGTAAAGAATTAGCTTTACCAAATTTAAAACACCTCTAGCAGTACAAAACTCACTAGCCAATAAGAAGTTGAAGCATGAAGACATATATATATTGATAGATCTAACAGGCTCTGATCGTACCTGTATTAGAGTCTTTGGTATTAAGAGGACTTGGAAACACCAATATAGGTATAGCTAGCATAAGTGTATGCAGTGATAACTAGAGACTACAACTGCTAAAAATCATTATAAAAAGAAACAATGATGCACTTATTACCTCTAAGCTTTATAATACTATCTAACTATACTAACTACTAGAAATATTTGCAAAACATGCCTGAGTATCTCATCACTATATTGGGAGGTATAGTCATTAGAACAATTACCAAATTTGATATATTAAGACCTGGGTTTTAAAGTCACAAGAAACTAGCTAGTTATGGCAGCATGCAGGCTTGAGATATTTATCTATTTGAGTAAAGGCAGCTATATAGCTTGAAATATGAACTCCTGGGAGTACACCAAGTAAGGATTAAGAAAGTAATTCTTTGTCAGACACACCAAACCAGAAGCAATAAATGCTTATCTGAAGCAACATAGTAAATAATATAGATAATATAGTGGACATGTGAATACTAATTCACAGTTGGGAAGGGATGTACAAATTCAAATTAGCTATGTAACAGTTGGCTCTGGTGGGTTTTAGCCATGGATAAATAGTTTGTATACCTGATATCCTAGTCTTAGTACTTGATTTAATATATACATATATAGGCATCATCATATATCAATTATTTAAGTATTAAATAAAGTCTAAGTTCAGGTGCTACACTTTTAAAATATATAAAAAAAAAAAGTATTTTTTTGCAATTATTTTTACTTGTATTATAGAAACTAATCTTATAAATAAAGTCAATTTCTAAATCAATCAATTGATATACTGATTATATAATAAAATTCTTTTAAAAAAATATTTATTACACAAACTTACAAATAATTACAACTTAGTACTAAACCAAATCAAGAATTTTATAAATTTTAATAAATATGAAAATAAAAATTATTTGTGTACATCAGTTTTGTGTAACTTTACGTATATCAATTTTTTTGGCAAATAAAATTGCAAGACTAGCACCTGAAATTTTCAGATTTTAGAGGCGTAGCAATTTTTATTGGCTAAAAAAATTTGATGTATATAAAGTTACACAAAACTGATGTATACAAATCATTATTCATATGAAAATACTTTAAAAATTTATTTGATTAATTGACTATATAGAATCTTTAAATTTTTATCAATTATTATTACAAAAAATATAGAATTATACATTTTTTGAAAAGAGTAATAAGCAGATTTAAAATTAATTTAAATATAAACTTAAAAAATTTTGAATTTACAAATATTTAATATTTATAATTAGGTTTGGCTTAAACTTTTAATCAATTATTATTATATATATATTTTTTTAAAGATGCCAAAAAAGTAGTATATTTTATTACTATTAATATATTATATATAATCAAAGTAATTATTTTATACATTATGATATTGTTATGCTATTCAGTTTAGTAAGAATATAGCCAGTTATTATGCTTTTGGCACTATATATATAAATATCTGTACTTGTAGCTCAAACAAGAACTACCTATTTAAATCCTCTGGCCACTTCTAGCCTTGTATCTTTATATCCGACCCTGCTATATTTTTTTCTTAATTAGTATATATTACTATCTATAGTTTCTCTTAAATACCAAGGTTTAAACTATAGTATTATGTTTCAGATTGACAGGCAGCACTGTTTTTCTAATTTAGTCTGTATCTCATATTACTTCTGAATCAGGATTTAGAGATAATATGCCCAAAATATTATGCTATAGCCTAACTTGGTACTTGGGAGTTATTTCTATATATCTCTTGCTCTTATTAGATTCATAACTAACTATAATATCCACTTTCTATTCAACTTCACAAATTCAAATTCAAGGCTTTCTATCTTTCAATCCAGTTAGTTTAGAAAAGTTGGTTTTACTTAAACTTTAAGTGCTATATAGTACTCTTCTTTTGATACATAATTCCAAAGCATATGTTCTTTTTTTCTAGTATTACTCCAGCAGCTAAATTGGTATAACTCCAAACCTAGAATAGTTATAATTGTTAGATCAATCTCAGTTGTTTCATAATTAGTTTTTAATTTTATAGTACTATTAAAAGTTAGCTATTACTCCTAATTCAAGACTTTTCCAAACAGGTTTCCATTTTATTTACTCTTAAAATTTACATAATCTTTTAGAATTAATCTATAAGATCTTCTAGTAACTAACCCACTAGTATGAATTAATTTACAAATTTCTTTAATTTAGCATTTTATAGTTACTATAACACAGACTTTATTTTTTAAAATTGTTGTCTATAGGATTCGAACTCTAGACCTGCCACTTAGTGAGAGTAACAACTAGACCACTTCACTAGATTACTACACTTATTATACTTGTTAAAAAGATAAGTTTATTATATTATATAAAAATCAAAATCCTTTAGATTTTAAAAATTTTACCAATATAAATACAACAAATTAAAAATATAGTTTATAGCTATTTACAAAATCAATGTCTTAACGTTGTTGACACTCTACTATTTGGCAGTTCTTCGTCACTAATTAATTTTGCTAACATTTTGCCTTTTTTTTTAACAGAGGTATCCATGTAAGCAGGTATCTCTGTTAAAAAAAGGTTAAAACCACACTTTAATTAGTGACAAAGAACTGTCAAAAAAAAACAAAAAATTTTTTATAAACTAAAGTAGAGAAAAGAAAAAAAGAAAGTGTGAGAGAGGGGGATATGGACAGAGAGAGAGTGAAGGAGAAGGAAAGAAAGTGAGGGAAAGAGTGAGCGAAGATAG